TCAATATAGTACTGAATACACATTCCATTAACAGCTGTAGTAAAAGAAGTTTACCCATTCACCATTAAAACGGATGTTTTGAAAATTCTCAAATGGAATACTGAACCATTTGCTACATGCATGAATCTCAACTATCAAAACCGTGTTCTAAATTTTTGCAAAAAACAACATAAGCAACAGATTCGACTCGTAGCAGATTCGCATTAAACTCGAGTATTTATCGTGATGCATCTGAAAAGAAATAAAAACCAAATTCCTAATGTTTGTAGCAACTATGGAAGAAACCTTTTGGATTGAGAGCACAAAATGTTAGCCTGAGTTGCCTTCATTTGGCTTTGGAATTCTTTTGTAGTCATAGTTGTTTATATCAACCTTCTGTTGCAATGCCTACAAAATAAAAGAAAAGGCAAGTCACGAGGACTCTTCGTTTTTTTCTCAAAGTGCCCGTATCCGATATTTGTGTTCGATGCATATTTAAACAAGGGTCCGGAGATTTATGAATAACATCGAAATAAAAGATCTCATCTACCTTTAACTCTTCCTCCAATGAAATATTTTTTGGCTTATATGCATCGATGGGTCCTGTTCTTGATAACGCTTTCTTCGTCTCGATGATTTCCCATTCTTGATCATCTTTCACCTTTGCAATATCCTTGCTGAACTACGAAATAAAATTGAATTTTAGAAGACAGTTGGCCTATGGATTAGAGGTGTTGCAACAATAATTGAAACAGATAATCATATTGAAAATAAAAGTCCAAATATTCAGCAGTTCTCAAGTGGAGCATCAACCGCAGATGCAAGCCGAGAGTTTTCATGTGAACTCAAGCAAGACAAAAATACAGCAGTGATAAATACTCTTCCGTTTAAGCATTGGCACCTTCCACCAATGTTGGTTGAGCAACTGAATTTTCATCTAACCTCTAATGCTGCCGGAAAATCAGACAAAATGTCATCTAACTCTACCCACTAAGCTCATAACCAAACCAACTAGTAAACCATGATAGATGACCGATCTTGAACTTTACACTCAAGACTCAATGGATAAAGAGCCAAACAAGAATCATATCAAAACCTTTCCTTTTAAAAACTAATTTGGCTATGTACCTTAAAACCGTGGTAAGATATGTATGTCTGTGCATGTGTAATTGTGTAGATATTGTACAGTACTGGATTAAGGCCGAGTCAAACGAGAAGTTGACCTATTAAATAGCCTTCTGAAATCGGATTTTTTCCACCAACTTTACAAATTAACAAACAAATACCACGATTGAAACCGACCTCATAATACTATAGGTCCGACTACAATCATAAGAAATAAAAAAAACTGAGCCAATAATCTACAGCATAACAAGTTTGCCCCCCAAAGTTAACATGACATCTACTGTTCTCATCGCAGCAGATATATTCAATCCTGGATGAAACATAGGTCTCATCCGCTAAAGCGATCAATAGAGATCCAAGTACCAGAACAAACCTGCCTTGCAAGAGGTGGCCGAGGCCGACTGCCCCGAACACGGTCAATGAAATCATCGGAAGCCCATATCTGATAAACGGATACTTCCTACCCCACCTTCGGAATGATGACGACGATGATGCACTCTGAACCTTTGCAGTGTCGGCAGTCGGATTGCTTGTTTTCTGAGGTTCAGCTGTATGTCTCTCAACGGATGTCATTTTCAGCAAATCAAGAAACAAACTGTATACAAATGTCAGTTTCAATAGAACGTCAACTATTTTTACTTATCTATTCAGTTTAGATAGCCCAAAAAAACTCAAATATAAGTGACCATTCAATAAAAAGATCGAAAAGCCACCTAAATCCTAAACTTACCACTACCCTTTCAACATTTATATCCTATGCTACCCGGCCTCTTCATTTTTCCTAAAATAGTTGTCCGACACATGCATCGACATATATTTTGAACATGGAAATGGGGACTCGGACATAATCTCCCAACTATACAGAAAAGCTCTTTTTGAAGCAATTGAGTATACTCGTGTATGATAAATTCTCATATCCGACGCTCACACTCGAGTTTAAATAATATAATTTATATCTAACACAATATACATACCAAGCTTCTCCAAATTCAAGTCCAGTTTCAGGGCAACAATATCAGTTTTAAGTTCAACAAGAACCACAAAATTCTCATAAACTGAAACAAATTTTAATTGGGAACTTTTCCTTCTTAGTTTCCCACAAAAACACAAATAATTAAGAATAAAAACAAATTTCTTTCGTTCACCTAATCTCAAATTACACTTTTTCACATATTGAATAAATAAGTAATTCTAATTAAAATAATTCTAAAACCATAAATAAATCAAAAGACCTAAAGTGAAACTAAGAATTTTAAAAAAATTATGAAAATTTATCAAACAAACAAACAAACAAATTTTCAACATAATCTTTTTAAGTACTAAATTTATGCAATGTTCTGTTAAGTGGGTATTGCTGATTCTCCCGATTCTCAATTCATTCACAACTTTATTTTTTAAATAATTCAAATTGATGGCTAAAAGTTGCAGTTTAACGAGGGGTAAGCAAAATTATACTAGCAATACGAGTAAAAAAAGAGTATAGAAGTCAGTTTACGAACCTCCTTTAGATGGGTTTAATTCAGCTTCTATGAATTTGCTTGATTTTTGTTTTTATTATTTTGATTTCGGGGAAAAGGGGAAAAAACAGAGCTTGAGGAAGTTTCATTTGAGAGAGAACGCGAAGAAGAATAAGAAGAAGAAGAAGATCGGGCACCGCCGGAAAAGAGGCCCAAGCCCAAAAATCCAATACCCAATGGCGTCGGTTGATGTTCATGAATTGGATTGAATATCAGACATTTTTTATTTGATTAAGTTAAAATGATTATAAAATAATATTTTATTTTAAGTATTGTTTATTATTTGACAATGAATGTTCAATTATTTTTACAATCGTTGGTGCTCGAACTCGTAAACAATTTCTTTAACCACTGAAACAACTTGGTCCGTGCAATATTGGATCATTTAAATATAAAAGAAATAAAATAATTTTAAATCTTTGAATATGCTAATTGTTTAAATTATTTTTTAAATTCTTTATCCATCTTAACATCTAAACCAATCATTTAGATGGACATAATGTAAAAGTGGTATATATCATTGTAATGATTAAAATGATTATATCCTAAAATTAAATCCAAAAACTAATCGGTGCATGAGGTTTCTATAATTTTTCTTAAATTAGTATATAAAGCTTTTCTTGAAACTGATTAATGGTGTGATATTTTAAACTTATTTTCTATTACACTTACACTTCGGTCATCGAAATTAAATAATATCATTAGTTATCTTCGACAAAACTCACGAGATATTGCTGTGAAAAAAAACAATTCACGTGATAATGTTGTCCAAGAAATAATTGTTCAAATGGTGTGAATTATACAGTGCATGGATTGGTCGCCATGCAAGCCAAACGAGATCATAGGTCGCCATACACTCGGTGCGACCTTGTAGGTCGCCATGCAAATGGCTCGAATTCCTCTGTGATTCTGCTGAAATCACGACAAAGATGGCTCTGCCTCCCTCACCCCTGTCTCCCTCATGCATGCAGCAATTAAATCACGATAAAAGTGTTCTATACGAGCTGTGGTGAGAGGATGAAGCTTTGCTACGAGCTGTGGCGAGAGGATGAAGCTTTGCATGTGCCATGCACGTCGGAAGAGGTCGCCATGCACGTCGGAAGAGGTCGCCTGCATGCAGTGGGGAGCAGGCGAGCATGCAACGGGGAGCAAGGCGCAGGACAAGGTCGCCCAGCGTGCATGACGACCTACCATGTCGCCTGGCGTGCATGGCGACCTACAAGGTCGCCCGGAGGGCATGACGACCTATGCTGGGAAGCTGCCACGCCGTAGGTCGCCCGGAAGACATGGCGACCTACGGCCAACACTGTGCAATTCGCCCTATTTGAGCAATTAATCTTGGGAATACGTTATATCGTTAAATAAAAAATTCGAGAACGTTATCTCGAAAGTTTTGCCGTCATCGTCATTAAGGAATGATTTCATTTTGACCACTCATCAAATTAATAACGAAAGTGCGTTTATGTATCATTTCGGATAAAACTTGAAGTGCACGATGAAGCGTTGAAGGGGGTATTATAGAGTTATACTGCTTCAACTCTTTATTTTCTTTTAAGCATACACACCTTATATGATGAGCCTTTCACTTTTTCCTTATATATGCCTTTTGTTTGAGTTTTATTAGATGAGCATTTCACTTTTTCCTTATACAGACCTTATACGACGTTAAGAGACTTGTTTCTTATGTTAATATTTATAAGGAAATATTTTAATTATATTTTTAATTTCAATTCTAATTATAAACATTTATTGTAATTTTATATATTTTCTCTCTATTAATCTACTTCTATTTCTGTCAAGAAAAAGCCTCCATTCGGAGACTCAGTTTCGACATATATTTGATTCTTTTAAACAACAAAATACATATATTTGAATTCGATTAAATATAACTATAACAAAAAGCCAAAGGAAGATGAAGGAACAGAAAGATTCCAAATAACATGTGTCAAATGATTAATGCTCGATTTCAAGTACCACTGCCTAACAAATTTCTCCACAATCGTGATTATGTATCTTCTTATATCAACTATACTATAGTTTTATAATTTTCTTTTTAAAATTAGACAATACACACACCCTCCATGTTTAACTATTTAAATCCGAAAATTTTAGAGAAAATAATACTGTGTCTTTTACAGAGAGGTTGTTCAATGGATTCAATTTCTATAATTTAAATGTTAGAAATCAACCAATTATGGTCTCATTCAATTAGTAGCAGCAATTGTATAAAAATGTAAATAATCTCAAACTATTGTTTTGCAGGAGTCTGTTAGAAGTGCTGCAATCAATTCAAGCATTACAATGGAAGGGCGAGCATTAACAAGAAAACTACATAAACAAGCCTTTATAATCGAACTCTAATTATTTAAAAGAAAATCCAAACCCAAATCCATAAACTTATTATTCCATTAACAATACTTCAAAACGTAAATACCATCATCCACGATTATATTACATTCATGCATGGAATTTACAGCTTTTGTTCGATCAAAGACCATACAGATTACATAAAATAAAAGCGCCGATGATCATCTTTTTTCAATTAATTGTAGTAAAGTTCGAGGCCCATACCATCATGGATCTCGTAGTCTTTGAGAGTGATATGATCCTTGTAAACCGTATACCATTTCTGGATACGGATCTTGTCGGCTCGGGTTCCGGTTTGCGCCGCCACCAGCTTCTTAAGGTCTCCGATGGTGTCGTCGTCGTTGCACTTCACGCGGACTTTCTTCCCCAGACGATCGTTCAACACCACCTCGATCATCTTTGAATTTTTTTGTTAAAAGAAAATTTTCCAGATAAAACCCTAATCCCCAAATTCGCTAACCCAGGGAAAATAAAAGGAGAGAACCCAAGCGTGGGGTGGATTTTTTTTTTTTTTTTTTGGGAATTCTTTAAAGAAGAATACATTAACCGTTGACTACTTTATACTTTTGGTTTCTTAAACGACGCCGTTTCATTCGTTTTGCTAATTTATGTACTAAATATTTATTATTGTAAATTAAATAAATAAGATTATATTTAAGTAAATTTTCATTTTTACTATATATATTTCAGAAATTATAAATCGGTAACTAACGTTACAAATCGATCATTTAAATTTAACAATTATTAATATAAATGACGAAAAACTGATATAACCCGTTAACTGCTGACTTATCCCTTTTGACCATTTTGACTAATCTTCCTCTTCCATCTTCACTCTATCATCTCCCCCACTCTAAAAGAAAGCACTGCTAAAATATAAAGAAGGGGTTTCCTTTATTCTATATCGCCAGAAAGCAAGCTTTCACCACTGCCATCTTATGCTATAGCGCCGCCATCGCCGTTTTGGTTACTAGCCTAAAGTTTCACCGTCGTCCGGGGATAGATATATCATTGTTGTCGCTACTCTATTCCGATTATTTCATACATGAATATAGGGAGATCCAAGGGATATGGCTTTGTAAGCTTGTTTGATCCCTTTCTATTGATAAAAAGCCTTGATTTTTTTCCTTTGTAAAACATATTCTGATTGACATTCTCTAACAGCCATTATCTAGAAGTTATGAAAGCATGTGTTCTATAAAGAAAGTTGCTTTCGTTACCGATAACTCGGGATTTCGATGAATTTCACTTTAAAAGAACGAAAAGAGATTGATCTTTACCAGAATTTTCATACTTTGCCTTTCAGCTTGATCTTAAAGGTGAGATTTATAAAGGAAATTCTATACGAAAAGCTTTGATTCGAGAAGCGGTGAACTATGCTGCTGGTGCTTTAGTTGTGGGTATAGACAAGCTTGGTGCTCTTGGTTAAGTTAGCTGTTAAAAGACTCGGCCTTTTCGGTTGTTTAAATTGGTGTGATTCTTAGTCTCATTACTCGGAAAAACATATATTATTTTCAGGGGTTGGACTTCCACGGCTCCTTATTGCGCGAAACGTTTGCCGATGACTACCAATGTTCTAGCCATCAGCAATGGAAAACTTGCTTTCGGAAGATCCAACAATAGTGAATCTAGCCAAAGTAGGGTCTGAGATATCCATTAGAAAGGGACGGCAATAGAAAGGGATCAAACAAGCTTACAAAGCCATATCCCTTGGATCTCCTCGTATTCTTATATAAAATAATCGGAATAGAGCAGCGACGACAATGATATATCTATCCCCCAGACAACAGCTGAACTTTAGGTGAGAAACCAAAACGGCGGCGGCGGTGCTAGAGCATAAGATGGCAGCGGTGAAAGCTTGCTTTAGATTGTTAAAGATATTATAAACATTTCCATTTCGGCATTTATTTAACTGCAACAGATGAAAGTCGAGAGTTCCAATCACAACTTCGAGTCCGACAATAAATTTTTAGAAACTGCGGCAATGTCCATGGAGGATGATGTTTTGAAGGCTTTCCTAGCTGATATGATCAAGGAACTGCAGATGAAAATATATGCATTTAGTATTGAGAGTCTCATCAAGGAAGATATTTTCCAAATCATCCTTGTTGAGTCAGTGAAACAAGGTTGCATTCTAGAGGAAACCGATGACCACACGAATCGAGAACAAAGTCCGAGAAAATCGATGATCTCGGTCTACACATTGCATCCAGATTCGAGTTCAATCAACACAAGCATTGTCCCGGATTCTTTACCTACGATGACGAGAATGGTACTAATTCGGAAGACATCAAGCTTGAGAAAACTCCACTTCAATTGGATTATGGCAGGGCATGGCATTAATGAGTGAGAGGTTTCGAGTTAGGAATAACAGTAAACAGTTTAGATTCACTCTATGCTACCAGAGACTACAGGAAGCCCTCCATTAATGAATTTCGCTCAGGATTTATCACAAACATTGAAGAGATCCGGTTCGAATCATTTTCGAGACTAAGAAGGCATGTTTTGAGGTAATTAAATTTCTTGCTTTAAGTAATACTATGAAGCATAGACACGGATATTGAATACGAGTACAACATGATACATGCACGGATGAACGTGCTTTATTATCAACATCCGCCATTGTTGAGCTTAGTTTCAAGCTTTTCTTCTTCATTTGCGATCCAGAATGGGTTATTTATAGAGGTTTAGCTGCTTGCAAATATGGACAGAAAATCATAGGATAATTCCAAAAATAAATTATTTGACTTTTTCAAAGTGCGAGTGATTTTGGACTTAGGACATACTCTATCACCTTCTTGGCTACTTGACTTAGCCTTAGTGCCTTACAATATTGACCAAATAATAATAGGGTAAATTATAAATTCATCAATGAACTTTCTTCTCACTCCTATTTTGGTCATTAAACTTGATTTTGTTTTTAATTTAATCACTCGCTTTTATAGATTGAAACTTTTAATCCCTATACCGTTATCTGAGCATCTCAGTGATGACATGACTTATGATTTTGTTTTTATGATGTGGTTGCATTAAATAATATTTTAATATGATAAAATTAACTTCAGAAAAAATGAAAAGAAAAAGAGAATAAAGCAGTAATAAACAAAACCATTGTTGAGATGATTCAATAGCCACCCCTCATGCCAATTCTTAATTTCAACTTCTAAGTTTTGTCAAATAATAATTATTAATTTCCAAGTTCTAGTCAAGCACCGCCAATAATAATACTTAAAAAAACAAATCTTGTTTGATTAAGAATGGACTTTACTATCCTAACAGCCCGTAATCCATCAAAATGACGGACTTTAATTTTATAATTTTTCATTAAGAATCGAGTTGGAATAATAATTTTTAAAATGTAAAATTTATAAATTTTTTATCCGATAATGATTATATAAAAATTTAAAATTTTCGAAGAGCTACTCGGTCCATCCCTACTCACGGTATATATGTACGTCCTTCCAATGGGGACAACCAGATTAAAAATGAGCTCTCTGCAGGCCTTGTCAATTTTGCTTTTGTTCTTGTCTTTTGTAGTCATAGGATCAGCGGAGCAGTGTGGAAGGCAAGCAGGTGGTGCTCTTTGCCCCGGCGGCCTATGTTGTAGCCAATTCGGTTGGTGCGGCGACACCGATCCCTACTGCAAAGACGGTTGTCAAAGTCAGTGCACCCCTGTTGGTCCTCCTCCCGGGCCGCCTGGTGGTGGACTAACTGATCTTATATCGAGAGATTTGTTCGATCGGATGCTTCTGCATCGAAACGATGGAGCTTGTCCCGCACGTAACTTCTATACCTATGATGCTTTCATCGCTGCTGCAAGGACTTACCCTGCCTTCGCTACGACCGGTGACCAAGCAACTCAAAAGAGGGAAATAGCTGCCTTCTTGGCCCAAACTTCCCATGAAACTACTGGTTAGTTTAGTCCATCTTTAAATTTTATCACTCGATGTTCGTCGTATTTTCAACGACTTCCGATTCGATGATTGATGTTGCAGGCGGGTGGTCGACTGCACTGGATGGTCCCTATTCATGGGGATACTGCTACAATAGGGAGTTGGACACCACTTCGACTTTCTGTCAACCGGATCCAGCCAACCCTTGTGCTCCCGGTAAACGATACTTCGGCCGCGGTCCCATTCAACTTTCCTGGTTCGTTTCCAACCTGATCCAACCTACCCCATAATAACTTCGAGTCGATTTGAAAAATTCGTTTTTTTTTGAGTCAAGATATTGACATTGTAATTGACTAATCAAACTTTGGTATTCCAGGAACTTCAACTATGGGCAATGTGGAAGGGCCATAGGGGTGGACTTGTTAAACAACCCGGACCTGCTAACAAGTGATGCTACAATTTCCTTTAGGTCAGCATTTTGGTTTTGGATGACTCCGCAATCGCCGAAGCCTTCATGCCATGACGTGGTCGTCGGAGCATGGACACCCTCCGGTAGCGATCAGGCAGTGGGTCGGGTTCCCGGGTATGGTGTGATCACGAATATTATCAATGGAGGGCTCGAATGTGGTAGGGGTTGGAATGCACAGGTAGAGGACCGTATTGGGTTCTATAAGAGATACTGTGACATGCTTGGAGTTAGCTACGTGAACAATCTTGATTGCTATAATCAAAGGCCTTTCGGGAATGGAGACTCGGTGGAGTCCATGTAGCTTTTGTCTCAAATGAATAAGTAAAAGTATAGATTATGATGTTTTGTGCTCCTTATGTATTTAAAAATGTATCGTAATAATAGCACGAATCAACTAACCTCAGTGGTTAAAGGAATTGTTATTGTTCTTAGAGGTCACATACTCGTGCAAAAACGACTGCAAGGGTGATTGAACGTTCATTATCGAACAGTTGAGAGTATTTAGAACATATACTACTTTGTAATCACATTTAACTTAATCAAAAATGTATCAGAATAGTGAATTGATCTAACTTTGTTGGATTTGCAATGACCATTGAACTTGAGATGGTGTATCGTTTATACCATTGAACTTTCAATTTCTCTAATTATAGCATTGAACTTTGATTTTTACTTCAATTATGTTACTGAATCATTAAATTTTAACGACACAATGATGTAGATTGATATTTCTGTCACCATGGTGTCATGGGAAAAATAATGTCGTTTTGGTGAGGACTATTGATGATCAAAATGACATCGTTTTAGACACTGAACCTTAGGAGTATGTTGATTTTCTAACTAAATTTTTAAATAATTTGTTTGTGAAGTTTCATTAAGTTTAAGTGTAATTAATTCATGGGTAAATGATGTTCTGAATGCACAAGTTTATAAGAGTACAAATGGAAAGCATACATGTTGATTTCAATGGTAATTGTAGTGGATTTAGTGTGATTCCTAATGATTATTGTGCATAAATGTTGTGTTAAATGGATGTTATGAAATGTTATTGTGATATTTTAAAATATTGTTTAGGTTGCACTTGATCCGGGGTATTTTGATTGAGTTTTAAACATGTTAGATAGGTGAAATTGACCATTTGGTGCATATGGTATCGATAATGTGAAGAGAGTATCGATGTCATAGTCTAATTTGTAATTACGGTATATAATTTTGGTATTAATGCTAAGCTTGAATATTGATACTACACCTTATGATATTAATATTGATTTTCGGTATTGGCAATAAAATAATGTTTGACTTTTTAATGGTAAGGGAGTATTGATACCAAAATTGAAATATCAATATTGTACTGGTCAATATCGATACAAATGTAGAAAATAGGTAAATTGTGCATATAAGTCCCTAGTTGTTGTTTAAGTTATTCTATGAGCTTCAAATGTTGAATGATATGCTAAATCAATTTAGTTGAACATTACAGATTAATTTGACTACACTTAGGTCTTGAATTTTTGAAATCCTGCAATCTAGTCCCTAATCATGATATTTACATGAATCATTGTTGTCTAAGTTATGAATGCATTTATGTAATTTATAATATGAATGTATGAAAATGCATGAGCAAAGTATGATGTATGAATATATGATTTCGATTTATGTTCTCCGATAGCATTATCAATCGAGTTTTCGTCTGAACCAGGTTGGGGTGTTAACATTATAACCTGAGAAGGCATCCATAAAGCTCATGTATTTATATCTGGTCGAAGAATCTACCAATCAATCAATAGAAGGGAGTGGGAAACCATCGTTGGGACTTGCTTTGTTGAGATCCGTGAAATCAATGCACATCCTCCGATTGCCATTTGCCTTTCTAACCATAACGATGTTAGAGATCCACTCTAGATATGTTACCCCCCTAATGAAACCAGCTGCCAGGAGTTTGTTTGTTTCTTGCTTTGCCTCTTAGATTTTGTCAATAACTAATTTTCTCTTTTTCTACTTAATTGGTTTTGTCGAATGCTTAACATTATGCGAACTCATTATTATAGACGAGTCTATTTCTTACATGTCGGTTGTGGACCACGCAAAGACGCCAGAGTGGGATCTGAGCACTCTTATCAAGGAGTGTCTTTCCAACTTTGGGAGGGTGGTAGCGACTTGTGCAGTTTTCTCTTTATCCCCTTGAAGAGCGGTATTGCTTTTATATTTTTCAGCCAACTACACCCATCCTGGCTTCTTGTCATCGGAGAGGTCCAAACTTTCTAATTCCAGACACAAGCGATCCAAGATGTTAATTTCATGTCTACCTACATGGGTTCAAGAGCTTGCTCTTGTGGCTTGGCAGAGGCATGTTGGGAGATTTGCATGGATCGCAGATGGCATTTCCTTCTAGTATGATGGTCTATTCTTATGTACCCTTCACCGGTGGGGGTGGAAAATTTCATCATCAAGCTGAAAGTGGTCAGCATCAATTTGACATTCATCATCAACTGTATCTCGAAAATAACATTATACACAAGTGGTTTGTGTATTATGAGGAATTTTGTGTCGATCGTAGCAGTATGCTTGTCATAGCCCAAGTTAATGGGTATCTTGATGGATCATTTTACTTCCACAGGGTGGTTGGAGAAGCCGTAGATAGGTCCACAAGATTTCAACTGTTCTTGCTATCCTTCCATCTTCCGGAAGGCTTCCTATTGTGATACCCCATTGCGCTTCCACTGTGTATTAATATTGTTCTGACAGTGAAGTCGTTGATGTGGGCTGACACTACCAGCGGATCTTCAGCAGTTTCGTCGAGGACTTGAGAAGAATCTAGATCTTCAAAACTGACTTTCTAGTCCTCAATGGGTCGGAGTCTTTTTCACTGCAGTTCTCATAGATATCACACTTTGCGGGTGGGACTTCTTGCCTGATGATGTCGAAGGTCGAGGTCACCCTATAATTACATTAACGATTTCCCGTTGATTGGGACATACATTTTGGTCGAGACTGTTTTGAGTAGTTTATTTTGTCTGGTTTTCTTTTATTGGGAGGTGTTTATGTTCGTCGTACCAATTATTTATGGAAATAAGTAGGTTGAGTTATCATTGACAATTTATCCTTTCTGATTTGAAAGCCGCAATTAGTAAATTCATAACGGTCAATCAATGGTAAAGATGAAGAAGAAAAGTCCAAGGATGTAAGACTTCATAGGAAGATTGACCGATCCATTTTCTTCTTATCTTTATACATCGACATTTTATGTGTGTTGGTGTAAGGCCTAAGATCATCATTACTCAGATACATATCGAAAAAGTGAATAAATATGACCGTCAATAATTAGATTTATGTCTTATTAGATCTCTTGAGTTTGTTGATAGTCTTGTCAATAAATAGTAACTTCCGGAGGTGTAAAAAAAGACTAAAATAAAAATATTATTTAAAATATTCTAATGGATATAACACAACAAAGAACAAATAAATATATAAATCTAACTAAATATTATTTAAAATCCGGTTCTCCTTCCAATTGTTGACTCGATCATCTCTTGGCGAAGGAGAAATTTTTTGATGAACTAACATCGATAGCATGTTGTGTTCGAGCCGATCGAGGTGACCTCGAAACCATTTCTGAAGTGCTAGAATCTTGGACTGTCATGTCCCCTGCTCCCCTTGTTTCCAAGTGCGATCTACCCTGATCGATATCAAGAACATCGATTTCATGGTGATTCGGAGAGTTGGCGAACTTATCGGCCGGATCCCATTGGTCGTTCTCGAAGTCCAAATGCGTCGGAGATGGATTGCGGTTTTCGACACTTCTTTCGGGATGGCTATGAAGGAGATGAATAGGAGACATCCCGTGAGTCGGAGTTGCCGGCCTGCTCGAAAACGGAGTTGTATTCTCCGAATGCCTGTTGTGTTTAATTTGTTTCTTCGCTGTGTGATGCCAGCTTTTAAGTGCACCCGCAACTCTTTCATTAAAGATTGTTGGTCTCATGTTAGTTCCCATCTGCACACAAATTTAATTTATTAAAATAATATTTCACAGTTCTATAAAATATTTATTATTAAAACATAAATAGGACCCCTCCAAAACCCAATCCGTAAAGGTCGAACGGGTCGGATAATTCAACTCTTAAATAGATCTAATTTCTTACCTGATTCACCAAAGCATAGAGTGGAAGAGTCACGTAGCTGCAAAGAACTTGTATGATGATCCTGAAAATTGCAAATATGTTACATTTTATCATTTTCTTCTTCAAATCATCAATATATATATATATATAAATAAAAATAAAAGAGAAAGGCAACTCACCCCATTGAAATTCTGATGATGATATCTTCAATGCGCTCATGGTAGCATGAATTTATGGTAAATTCATACTGAAAAAAGACGGAAAAAGTGTTTTTTTAGATAATGTAATTAAACATTTTCTCGAGAAACAAACAAAGTGTTTTGGTTTTAACTTACAGTGCTCCACACGAAAAATGCCAGTTGAAATGCATTCTGCGTAATGAAATTAACAACATATTTAAATAAAACTGAAATCTTAAAAAATATGTTTAATATTTTATATATTTATATCTTACCTGTGAATTTTATCGTATTATCATTCGAAGATTATTTCAAAATAAAAATAATTACCGTAAAAAGAACGATATGAATGAGAAGAAGAAGAAAACGCGGGCGACCGAACCAGAAGAGATCATCGCCCGGTTCAACTACCGGTGCACCCTTCACCACATCTCCTCTTTCTTGAATCTTTAGTCCCAGTTTTGTTATTATCACTTGCAACTTGGTCCCCACCATTAGAATTATCTGGAAAAAAACTCGAGTTTATTAATCAATTTAAATATTATTCGATTCCGTAATATTTTGATGTGTAAAATTACAATTAAAACATATACATATCCTAAATAAGATATGTGTATGTGTATGTATATGAAATATATATTGTACTTACAACTAAGGGGATAAAAGGAAGCCAGAAATAAGATTTCCATCCTATAAAAAAGGGAAATTTCATTTATTAGTCATCAAAAAGTTTAATAAATAAATTATTTATAATTTTTAAATATAATTGATCATGATAACATCTATTACCATAACAAAATAAAATTAAATAAATGAAATCCTTACCGTGTGTATAGGCAAGCAGGAACAAGACAGCAATAAACCATATTATTGGACTGCAAATTAGTACAACATTTATGTTAGTAATAAATTTTAAATCAAACATATAATTATATTTGTCATTTACATTCGAACCCAAATAATATATTCCCAAAAAAAACACTCACCTGATTCCAACTACAACTTTAAAATCATCTTCTAATGATCTCTTGATGTATTTATGAAAATCGAATTTTGTTTCGTTTTCACGAGCCAAATGTGCCTGAAAACATAACGCATTCAATTTGTCATTATTTATATGAAATATAGAATCCGTAATAATAATTTTATCAATAATATTTTAAAATTTGAATTTCTCATCTTTTAACTTACCATGATAAATCCATGTCTTAGTGTCAGGTAATCAACTTTCGTAACTGATCCAAAAAATTGTCTAAAGAAACATGCCTAGCCATAAGTAAAGAATAAGATTACGATCAATTGTCTTCGAAAGTTTTAAGTTTCAATAGATAAATAATTTGAATCAAATAATACTTACAATCCAAAGCGTTAAACTGGACCGAGTCCAAAAATTTAAATGTCTACGCCCAAACGAAGTATCCCTTGCAAACCTAAACCTCTCAGGATCTATATTAAAAAACCGTATCAAATTGAATTCAAATTAATATAAAATCATCTTCTAATTTTTTTTCCTTTTTTGAATTCATAAATTGGGAAATTGAAAATATACCATTGTAATATTGATATTCAACCGTTTTTGTCTCACTTTCCCAAGCCTTCCATTTCTTCATCTGCAGTCCAAGAAATATTACATAAATGTCATAACAAAATCTACACACGAATTTATAAAATTAAAAACCCAATTTAAAGACTAATTTACATAATTATTAATATATATTACCTTGGTACTCCCCAAAGCATAGGTTATAATGCAGTAGAGAATATGAGAAACTGCTAACACAAAGATAAAAATATGAAGCTGGTGGATTCCATAGGTCGATACAAATGCTACTTGACCCTGCAATAATGTTCGGATATTAAAATTTATAAACGATAAAATAAAATAAAATCGAATAATAAATTAAATATATGTTGTTATTTTAATAAAACAAAAGTATTTGCTTTTTTAAAAAAAGGAATAAATTCATGCCTTTTTTTTACAGTGGTCCATTTCTTTAGATGGATATTTATCCGTTGATTTCTTATCACAAGGATGCCACGAGTCTGCTACCGTCTTTGGTATGCAAAATCCAGCTATCGTGTCTTTCAGTACTGTTAGGAGTAGTGATATGAATCCCATCAGCATCAGCTCTGATACACAAAACAAAATTGTATTTGTTAATCGGAAGTAGAGATGTTTATGCGTCGAGTGAATAATTTCTCGAGATACAATTTCGAATCTTTCATATATAGCTTTTTAATTTCGGTTTTTTAAGTGATTTGTTCAAACATTTGAAATTTGACTCGAAAATTGAAATCTCCTATTTGCATCTAATCCGATTCGAGTTTAAGAGGATCCTCACTCAACTAAAAATTCAACCGGATATTTTAGGTTAAAATCTACACCCAGTCTGACCCAACCCGACTAATATATATATAATTCATTTTTGTTAGATAAAATAAGGACTTAATTGAAAAAGATAAAACAGAACAGAATATTACTGTATTTATAGTAAATATATAAAAGATAATTATAATTATCTCCGATCGTATTTTTCACCTTAAACTCTAACTCAACCGACCGGACCACACCCTTAAAAACTCAATATGACCTCAAACACGAATTTCCAAAATAAAAATTTATCTGACCATGATTAGTCAAGTCAAAACTTGTCAGATCTTGATAAAATAGTTATCTCTACTCTCAACCTGTGGTTCTCTGGAAGCTTAGGTAGAGTTGAAGGTACATAGAGAGTGGAGAGAGAGAAATTTTTACTTCCCTTAAAATTTTTGATATAATAATATTTTTAGGTCCTATCAGTTGACATTTAAGTAAAATTAAACTTTTATCTACTTTATTTTTTAAAAATTAAATACTTAATAAGTCCTTAGTATTTCAAATTTGAATATTTTACTCCTTTTAATATTTGACCTAACTTTATCCCTACCACTAACCACTTGACGGATAACACTTCATAATCTTTTTCCGAATGAATAAAAAATTCTTCAACAAGATTAAAAAAATATGAAATTAATTGATTACCTGCTTTAACCTTCTCAAGTGCTTCATAAAGAGCTGGTTTGTGCTTTTTCTTCAACCACTGTGTGAGGAGTATACAAGAATGTCAATATATAATTAAAACAATCGTAACATAAATTAATTTGATTAAACTGGAAGTTATAAAAGTCAAAATATATTATTTTTTTCTTAAAATTCAAAATAAAAAGACTCGAAAAAGAGAAAAAAATTATAAATATCGAAGAGTATACAAGAATGTCGATAGATAATTATCAATCATGGTAATATGAATTAATTAAATTAAACTCGAAGTTAGGTAAGTTAAAATGTATTCTCTTATCTCGAAATCCAAAACAAAAAGATTAAACAAAAAATTATAGACATTAAAACTCGTACTTAAATCGAAGTATTAAAACTCGAAATTTACGAAATCCGAAAGAAATTAAAAGCTTAAACATACCTTCCCCAGCAAGTGAATGCCATGTTCCATGAAGATGGAAACAATTACTATGACAAAACACACAACAGCAACAGCCCACGTTGGTGTCTCTTCCAATGAACGTGCTTTATTATCAGCATCCGCCATTGTTGTTCTCGGTTCCAAGCTTGCTGCTGCTAAACTCTATGAAAGTAGAGCCTTTTCTTCTTCACTTTATTGTGTTTCTAATTTTAAAATTTTGGATCCGAAATGGATTATTTATAGAGTTGAGATTCTTGCAATAATAGAGAGGAAATCATAGATTCATTTCCAAAAAGAAAATGGCTGACTTTTCAAAGTGAGACTGACTCATAAGACCTCCACCATCACCTTCTTGCCTTAGCCATACAAGTTGGACCAAATAATAGTAGTAATTAAATTATTTGGATAAGGTTATATTTAGATCTGTCCATACAAATTTTAACTATATCATTCTTGAATATTTACACCTACTAAACAATCTAGTTATATTGATATTTAATTTCAAATAAAATATTAATATATTTTATAATTTAGATTTAACATTTAATTATTTAATTTTTTATCATTTATTTTTTAGTTTATCAAACAATGCTTAAAATAATTTATAAGCACTATCAGTGATAAATCCATAAATATTTTTTTAGGGTTAACTACACAAAATTTTTAAACAGAGTGGACATAAATAAAAGTTCAAGATGAACACCGTCATTAAAATAAGTAACTATTATGTAAATAATAGTTTATGTTTTCATTTAAATATAAATTAAAAATTAAAGACTTTTCTTTTTTGGATAAGTACATTAGATGTTATTACCCAATAAAGTAAATTCTTTTGTTTTTCTTCTTTTTTGTCAATTTAACTAATTTTCATTAAATACGTTAAAGAAAATTTTATATATTGAAAAATGCATATATCTAATAATTGAAGCTTTGTCTCTAAATACAATTGATCAAGTTGGACATTGGTCTTGAAAAAGATACAATATGGACCATTCTATAACAACAACTTACTCTTGAAAACGACACAAACATGTGTTTTCTGCAAGTTGCTTGTACCATTTTTTAAGGGAATATTAAGAGTTCTTTTTTTTTTTTTAAAGGGTTCGATTATCTTCTTGAATTAGATCATATTTGAAATAGAGTTATGAAAAAATTAATTTGAATTGCAGTTTTTGATTAAGTTTATGTTAATTTCGATTTAATTATCCGACTTGAAATCTGACTCAATTTTTAAAGTAAAAGTTTATAGTTGACTTGACACAAATATATATATTAATTATCATTAAATATATAAAGGTCAATTTATTACTATTCTCACGTCAGACCTAGTAATTTTCACTCTAAATCCAAAACATAACTCGATCTAATCTCATCATTTAGAAAACTTGATACAACCTCGATTTTTGAAAAAAAATCCGATCTTATAAAATCGAGTTTAATTGAATCCTATCTAATTCGTGTCAAATACCCTTTTCTATTCCTATCTTACATAGCGTCGTATTTGTCATATATGCTTTGAAATATGATATTTTTTAGACAAACCCTTTGCAATTAAATTATTATTTAATTAATAGAAACGTTTTCAAATATTTTTAAACAACCAAATGTCTGTTTTTGAGTGCAAAGAAAATATCTTTCTAGGATTTAATATCTGATCCATTCATAAAACATCTACATTCTGCCTCAAACTCTCATATAGAAATTGTTTTCGGTGTCAATTTTTTTAATTAAATTTTATCCCTCTTTTTTCTAATTTTAATTAATGCAACAAGACTTTAATTTAGGGTTTGCTTGTTGTTGATTAGGTCAAAGGAGGTTGACGTGAGCCTTAACTTTTCGATAGGTATAGGACTTTTCAATTCCAAAAATGTAGGCAAACAATGTTGTTGAGAATACGGATCGACATAGTTAATAGGGTAAACTACGTTAGATACTATAAAACTTTGTTCACAATTTTGTTCGCTGATTCGTTTATAGTACTGAAATTTTAATTTTGCCAATTATAGCGTTGAACTTAGTTTTACATTCAATTATGTCACTCCGCCGTTAAGTCACTAACGGGATGATGACATCGTTTTGGTGTGGTTGTTCGGATGCCTAAAACGACGTCGTATTAGACAGTAAACTTTTGGGGTGTATCGATTTTTTCACGGAACTTTTAAACAATTTTCTTTTTTACCATTACACTTTTCGGCTGCCACCGACAGTCAAGCATCGTCGTTCATCGGTCGTATGTCACAGCAAGATCGGTACCAAAAAGTTCATATTTCATTCATCTTTCTTATCCTAAGATTGATTTTACATGAAACCCACTTAAAATTGACGAAAATCCTTTTAAAAGTTCAACATTTTAATACTTCAATCTCTTTCAATAACTAACTGATGAGGGTAGTTTTGAGGTATGTTATTCATCTTCCTGAAATAATGCTTTTCACCATTAATATTTTTTTAACATACACCCAAAATCCCGTAAATCTAATAAAGTCTTCAAACATCCAAAAAATAGTAGATTTTTTTTGTTTAATTTCGTCAATTTCAAGTTCTCATGGAAAACTAATCGTATGAGAAGAATGAGGAGTCAAATGCAACCATTTTGGTATCGATTTGTTGCAAAAGATGATCAGTGATGGGTGACGACTGGATGTCGACGACGGTCGAAAAATGCAGTGTCAAAAAAGAAATATGTTTAAAAGTTTAGTGACATAATCAATAAACACCTAAGTTTAGTGACATAATCAATAAACATCGTTTTAGGCATCAAAACAAACGCTCCAAAACGACATCGTTTTGGCACGTCAATAATCGTTAACCATGTCATCGTCTCGTTAGTGACTTAATGGCAGAGTGACATAATTGAATCTAAAATTCAAGTTCAGTGCTATAATTGACAAAATTGAAAGTTCATTGGTATAAACGAGTCAATTGACAAAATTCAGTGGTTTTTGGTGTAGTTTACCCTAGTTAATATTAATATAATAATAGAAAATAATAATCATTCACAATTAATTTTATTAAATTTAAACTATATATATTTTGAATGAGTATAGATACTTATTTATTAAGATAAACAAGTAAGAAGATTAAAAGTATTAATAAATTAATAAAATAAATTTTGGAGAGATGAAAAAGAGAGAAAAAAAGAGAATATAAAGAAAGGAATATGAAGAGATGGAATGATCAACAATTGAACGTTCTTGATAGGAGAAGGTGGTTTGACACTCGAGTCATATCCTGAAGTACTTAACTATTGTCTGGATGGCGGTGTTGGATAGACTCCTTAGAAAGAGTTGTCTAATCTCATTTGGCCTGAACATTGACAAGCTTTGTCTGCTATGTTTAGCTCATACCGAGTCTCGAGACCATTTATTTATTTTGTGTGTGCGTACACTAGGTAGTTGTGGGGTTGTGTGTTGCAGGCTTGTGGCGTGAGAAGACCAATGTTGACTTTGGACTGTGAGCTTAGTTGGATGAGTTGAATGCGAGAGGGGAGGTTGTTTAAGCTTTTATATTCCAGTTAGCTTGGAACTGTTGTATCACATTACTATGGAAGGAGCGAAACAACAGCGTTACTGTTCCTCTTGAAGGAAGTTGTGCGATTGAAGGTGGGGGATTTAGATGACATGAAAATCAACTTTATGCCATTGTAGGTGTAAGGAATGGGGCTCAAATGTGTAAACTAGGCATTTAAATAGCGCCCGCTATCGTAATAAAGTCTGCTATATAGCGGTAATAGTATTGTCTAATATCGTTATTATATGACTGTGATACTTACAATCATCATGTCCGTGTCCATGTAAGTAAATCATCATTGTTTCTTTCATAATACCAATTATAACTTTATAATGCATCAGGGAAGTGAGGAATGAGGATGGTACAAATGATCCCATCCTCTCAGTACAGAAGAAAACATCAAAGTATCATTACATGAATTAAGGAAAAATCAACTACATACATTTATAACAAAATTAAGGATAAATTACACGTTTAGTATCTTAACTATCACTTATGTTCTGTTTTTGTCACCTAACTATCTTTTGTTTCAAAATCATATATAACAGTACGTTTTGATTCATTTTTGTCACCCACCGTTAAAAATATTAATGTGATACTGATGTGTCACCATAAGATAATATTATGTCATCATTGATTTTTTTTAAAAAATGCCTCATCATCAAAATTGATAAATTTTTTATTTAGTCACCTATCTATTATTTTATTTTTGTTTTAACCATTCAGTTTTTTTAAAATCTACTTAACATTAGATTTTGTTTCTTTTTTTGTTATCTACCATTAAAAAATTAATGACGGTGTTGATGTGATGATTTTAAACTAATTTTTACTTTCCACTTAATTATTCTTTTATTATTTTTTACAAGATGTAGAATGTTAAAATCTAACATCTATCTTTTTAAAAGAGGATCATGTTTGTTTTATATGGGTAGTTGGTCGTTTAATAAAATTTCTTTATATTTTTTATTTAAAATTTAATGTATTTATTAGATAGTTTATTAAATGTAATAAAAAATAATTTACAAAAAAATTTATTTAGTTTTGCTTTGTCTTATAATTCAATTTTTCGATACTTGTTATTAGAGACCTAATTTTTATGTTTCCGTGTCATTAAAATCTTATAAACGAGCCTGCAGATGGAGATCAAGCGAAAGCACCTAATTTAGGTTGAGGAGGGTCAACCAAGCACATATCAAGATACTTATCAATGGAAGTATACTTATAGTCAGGGTAAAGCTTTGACGCCTTCAAATCTTCTTCCTTCAGTTGATCTCCTTTTATGAATATGTTGTGTAGAACCGCCACCGGAATGTTTTCTGGAAAAGGTAAGGCTACAAAATCAAATCCATTATTTACGTTCAATATGTATATATGTATGTATGTGAGATGAGAGGAGATGAAATGGATAACTCACTCTCGGAGAGCTTTACGAGTTCCTCCTCCGGAACATAAACTCATTTCAGAGTTCGACCAATCTTTTTCTCCCATGTCGAAATCAGTTCGGACCGAGAAGTAATGTTTTCCGGCGGCCTGTAGATGATTACATGATCGGCTGCCCTGGGATCCGTCGCTGCTTTTACGGTATAGGCTGCAACGTCTTCCTCGCAGTTGAATACAACTACATCATGCATGTTCGACTAAAATTTAGTATTACTGTTATGAACAAGGC